TTTATATTATTTTTTGCTTTGTTATTTTCACCATTTTTGGCAAATTCAACATGTTGATGTATTTCCTCTTACACACACACACACACACACACACACATTTTGGCTTTTGTTTTCCTTTTTGCAAGGTCATTCGTTGTGATTTTATTTTGTGTGTCACAAGAGGCGCATGGAAAAAAAACAGCAAAAAAATGTGTTGCATGCCGCCAATATTTGTGGCGTGGGTGGGTGAGCGTGCCGCAGGATTAATTGAAATTATCTCCAAATGCTTGTTAGCTTGGCAATTAAAAAAAACTTCACATTGACAAGGAGTAACAAACATTAAAAATATAGTTAAGAATAAAATATTACAAAAACAATATGAATATGGAATTTATTGGAAATATATCATAAATCACAAAAAGACAATTTGAAATAACAATTTATTGAGAGTAAACATTCTTCTCTGACTGTGTCTCTGTTTCTTTCTCTCTAGTGATCTCTCTTTCTCTCTAGCATCTCTCTCTCTCTTTCTCTCAAAGCTATTTAAAGTTTGCGTTATGAACTTTAACTTGAACTTTGCCTTTTATATTTTGACTGGGTAGATTTAATCAGCAAAATCTGTCTATATCTTTATATACCTCTCCTTCTGTATCTTTCTCCTTATCTCTGTCTCCTGTCTGCTACTGTCTATCTCTCATTATCTCCATCTCTATTTCTCATTGTCACTGTCTCTATATCTATATCTATATATCTATATCTATATCTATCTCTATCTCTATCTCTATCTCTATCTTTATCTGTCACTATCTCTATATCTGCCTCTCGTTTCCTTTACTTCCCTATATATATAAAAATCTGTCTCTTTTTCTTTTCTGTCTACCACACCCTTTCTCCCTCTATTTGTATCTCTCTCACTCTCGCTGTCGATCTCTCTCTCTCTCTTTCACTTTCATGCAAAACTATTTGAAACTCAATTTAAGCTGCAACTCGTTTATTCATTTGAGCTTTCGTAATGCTCCTGACTTTCGGCTACTTGTTGATTCCAAGGCATCCATTTTCGTTTCTCGTTTGTCCTTTTCTTGGGCTGATAGATGCGCTGAAAAGCGAGCATAAAAATAATCTAAAATATTCAAGATGCGTTACATTATTCAGATCCACTATTTCTATAGGAGCTACCTATAGAGGGAGCTATATGACATTTGGTTGACTTCAATATAGATTACGAATCTATTGCAAGACGGATCAGTCTGGACAGTTATTCAAATGAGAAATATATTCGAAAAGTGCGCTGTTCTCTGCGATTCGGTACAAAAGGAAACCGGTTCAGTACTCTGAAACCATAAAACTATAGCAGAAATATGATAAGAAATGGTGCTAATTCGCATCTTGCAGACGGTGTTGCTCATACCGAGATCTTACTGTAGTTTACAATTAGTGGTTCGTGGTGAGTGTTTGGGTGGTGCACTGCCTGTGTATGACAGTGCCTATGCCTGGGCCTGGGTCTGTTTCTGTTTCAGCGACTTGCCTAGCTACCCAGTCATTGATTTATCTCTATGTATAGGAGCAGCGGCAACGGCAGGGGCAGAGGCCATGGCGGAGGCTTTCAGTCAAGTTGGTTCGGCGCCTGGCTTCAGCTAGTCGTAAACCACTCGGCGGTGCTGTTTGCTGCTATCTTGCTCTAATTGCCCGCTCTGCATGCGTTGTCCTGTGTATCCTTTGCCTCCGTTCCACTCAACGTCACCGCCGCCTCGGCCTCCGTTGCGATCTGGGCCTGCGCCCCTCCATTCCAATGAGCAGGCCGCTGCTAGTTAACCAGGCAATCCTTTTGTTTCAGTCACCAACAAATGAAGGAGGTGTAGCCGTAGGGGCGTGTCAGTGGGGTGTTTGTCCTCTTATTGGGGGTTGGCACAGCCACATTGCACATGCCACGTAGTTTTCAGTTCAGCTCGTTGTTCATAGTTCGTAGTGTTCGGTATCTCTGCATGCCAAACATTTTCCACTGCCTCGTCGACTGTGCGCGAGTGTGTGTGAGTGCGTGTGTGTGTGTGTGCGTATGTAAAGGGTGGGGTAATATTTAACATTCAACCCTTTCTCGAGCTATGCGGCACAGTGGGCTTTAATAAGTTTATTAAGTCACAATTGAGAGCACAGCGATGTATTCATTGATCGATAATTAATCGATATATATATGTATATATATATATATATATATATATATATATCCTGTGTGCGTTGTACAGGGAAATCGTAATTTGAACGTTTATAGTTTCAGTTTATATGGGTCTATATGGGAAATATTGATAACGAATAACTAACGATAATGCATTTATCGATATAATTCTCATACTATGCAACGATAAATGTATAGATATATTCACGTGTTTAATTTATTTTGTATATCGATATAGGAAATGTCCCAGTCTGTTTATTAATCGATAATTTATCGATATTTATAGAAATAAGATTGATTCTTGTAAATAATGCAGCTTCAACTATTTTTTCAGTAAGACATTTGAAGATTGCTCTGTCATAGATTACATTTTCAGCGTGTTTCGGACCACTGTGCCTGTTTTGGTACGGTGTTATTCGAGTGGTGGTTGCCCGCCAGTCCGCTCCTGACCATTTCAAAGTTGGGCCAACCCCCTCAACGCCCCCAACGCGCAACGTTAAATATTCAAAAGGGGTGCTTGCTAGAGCCATTTCCATATCTGGGAGAGAATTGGAGCGGGAGTGGGGCGGCTGTTGATTGGGGTTAGAGCGCTATAAATGGAGAGCGGAGAGTGGGCCGTGGGCAAACGCAAAACGCCGAAAAACTGCAAGCGTGTGTTGCCTGATGGCCTGATGGAAATTCGGCTGGCTGGCTGGCTGGCTGGCTGCTTGGCCGGGGCAGAGAGAGACACTGGAGCACGGCATGGCGTAGTTGCCTCCAACACGAGCGCAGGAACAGTCGCAAATTGCAGCCGTAGCATTAGTAGCAGCAGCCATTGAAGCCGTGGCAAGTGTTAACTGCAGCTGCAGCTAAGCAACTGAGCAACTAAAGCCTTCAGCTACAGTTACAGCTTCACACGCTGCCAGACTGTTCGAAATTCTGCCTCAATTTCGTTTGCTTTTTTTCGCACAGTTTTTTCTCGTGCTTTTGTGCCGTTTTTTCTAAACAACTGTGTGAAATAAAGCTCTCTCGCTTTCGTGCTGTCTCGCTCGCACTCAAACGCGCGCTAGCTGGCTCTCTTTTCGCACTTTCTGTGTGCCTATGCTTGTGTGTGTGTGTGCGTGCGTTTCGCAGTCTGTGTCTATGTATGTGTGCACAAAAGTGTGCTACATTTTTTCTCTTTTTTGATTTTTTTTGTGGTGATTCCCCTTAAATTTGTGTGCAATTTCTTAAAGCCAGCTGTGTGAACGTTTTTTTCTCGTTTGTTTTGTTCGGGTGTTACACTGCAAAAAATGGATGAATTACTTGAAGCAGATGTCTATCCAAAACAAAATTCCATCCTTTATATTGTGAAAAACCAGCCGAAATATATTGAAAATTTGATTGAGGCATTCAACAATTTGTGTTTATATCTATATATTATACATCTAAAAATTTCATAAATTTCTGTCATATACTTCATTAACTTTGCAAGCTTAACTAATATGGATTTTATTTTGTTGTTCTTTTTTTTCAGACATCGAAAAAGCGAAAAATCTTTTTAGACGCCGATGACAACGACGATTTTGATGACGATGATTCCGGCTCTGATTTTGATGACGATGAAGATCCAGATCAAATAGAAGTGCCCGGTAAGTGCTCACAAATTTCAAACTGAAATTCGATTTGCATATAAAAAGTTTTCGACCAGGACCTAGACAGGCTGTCGCCTCGTCCCTCAACCCTCACCCAAACTTTACCTTTTTTGCTGATGAAAAAGGGGTCGGACAGGCAAGACTGTAATTGTTTTTGTAAAACTATTTTGCTATGGGTTCGAATGGCGCCTAATTCACCTGTGTTCATGTGTGTGAGCATGTGTGTGTAACAGGTAGAGACAGGTAGAGTTCGCTATGCATGTTTCGGAAATGCCAGCAAAAGGCCCTTCATGTTTTTCGTGTGTGTGTATAAGTTCATAAATATCTGAAGAACTTTTTATGCTTCCGATAACAAAATTGGTATGTGCATTCTTGTAGAACATATCAAATAGTTGCTTTTGCTTTATATAAATTTTCGAATGAGCTGTTCACAAAAGCAATGCATATATACAGTAGAGTTCGCAGGCTTCAGTTACAATTTAAATTAATATTCTTTAAATTTTTTTTTTTTTTTTTTTTTTTTTCGTTTTTATTTCTTTATTTTGTTGCAGCTTATTGTCTTAGACTCTATAGCGCATTTAGCTCTAAACCTTAACTAATGGGAGGGCAGATATGCCAATTATTCTGCACTTGTAGCTACTATCTTAATTAGTTCTAATATTGTCTAGAGGATGCAATCTCTTCAGTCTTCGCCTATTGTTGTTTATAGCCAGGTTGCTTGCGAGATGGTTAGGATGCGCTGCAAGTCTGTCCGCGTATCTTGAACTGTGTCGCCCAATGAGTTCAGCAACTGTGGGAATTGCTAAATCCCTATGTAAGACTGAGTTTCTTACAAACCAGCTGGCTCCAGTCCATCTGCGTAGTGCTTTATTCTGCAGGGTCTGAATTTTGTTCCTTGTAGTCTTCGCCGAGGAGCCCCATAGAGAGATACCATATACGAAGGTTGGGACAACTATTGCCTTGTAGATGGCGGCCTTGCTGCTGTAAGACAACTTGCTTGAAGCTCTCAGCATCCAGTCGAGGGTTTTTAGCTTGCTTTTGCATTTTGAGGTTACTTGACTTATGTGCGCTTTAAAAGTCAGCCTTCTGTCAAGAGTGATACCAAGGTACTTTACTTTTGAGGCTTTGGGAATAGTGGGCCCCAATGCAACGCTTGGGCAATCTCCTCTTCTAGTGGCGAAGGTAGTATGTACAGACTTTTGTGCATTAATGGTGATACACCACCGTTTTGCCCAGCGTCCGAAAGAGTCCAGATATTTTTGTAGTGAGTCTGAAGCTTCTTGCGCAGATACGTGACGTGATAAGATGGCGGTGTCATCTGCATAGGTCGCTATGAGTACTGCATCTGTACTTCCTATATTTGGCTCGGGAGTTGGCATATCTCCTGTGAATAAAGTATAAAGTGTTGGGCCTAGAACACTACCCTGTGGTACTCCAGCCATAATTGGTCTAGTCAAGGATACTGTTTGCCCCCTTGACACTTGGAAGGTTCTTCCAATAAGGTATGAGGATAGCAACGCGAAAAATGGGGCTGGAAGGGTGGTCCTCACTTTCTGCAGCAGTCCCAGGTGCCAAACTCGATCAAACGCCTGTTTCTTTAAATTATTTGTAACTATTAAAAGTTATCGATAAATGATTAATTGATGGATAATTGATACATATATAAATTAATATATATATATATATATATATATATATATATATATATATATATATATATATATATATATATATATAGAGCTTATCATCATAGTCCTCAGCCGTTTGATAGCTCTAAATATTCAATTCATCGAATACAACAAATTTATCGTTTTTTGTATGCACTGCATAGTCGTAAAATTAATCTATAGCAAGAGGATATTTTTAGTTCTTTATGCCAAAACTTAACTTTTCTTTAAAGACTTTAGTTAGCTTCTCATTGCGAATTTGATTTAATCTGTTGTCCAGTTGCTTTGATTTGATAATCAATAGTAATTAATAAACAATTATCGGCCACAGCTGCAAGCTGAATCGAATTGCAGCTAATAGAGTTGACAAAAGGAAACAATTAAATATATAATCAAGTTGCATTCGATATGCATTATATGGCATCTGATATGTGATGTGCAGCTCACTCTCCCCCTCCCACTGCCTCTTCTTATCTCCCTCTCGGTACCTCTATCTCTATGTATTCACATCTATATACCTTAGCTGTCCATATATGCCATTAATTATGTCTATATATGCAGATGCGAATAGCCCAGCCTTAGCAGCTATGTACACATGTATACATATACCTATATGTATACAACCATGTGTATGTGTATCTGTAGAAATCTAATTGTAGTCTTCGACTGTTTGTCTATATTGCATTGGGTATAAGGTCTATGCATATTAAGTCTCAATGCAGAGCCTCCCACGCAAAGCTTAATTAACTATCTATTATAGATGAGCAGCAGCAACAACTTGTTCATATATGTATACACTTACATACACACGATATATATTTGCCTGTTCAGTTGCCAATTAAAGTCAACAATCCCGTCAATCGTGGCTCAATCTTTGACCTACCAATAAAAAGTAAATAAACTAATATAAACTACTTGATTGATTGATCTGCATATGTACAGAACACACACACACACAGATTTGTTCATTAGCTTAGGTTTTACTGTACCTACTGTTGGCCAGTCAACATATGATAAGATTTTAACTCAATCAGGGCTTACTTGTTGACGGCTTAAGCAGTTTGTTGATTAAAACAAAAGTTATCGAAATGTAAATCCAGCTAAAATTGATATTTATCGATATTACCTTAAGGTATCGCAGTTTAAACACATTTTCATCCCGACTATCGATCATATATAATGATGAACTATAAATTTAATGAAAATAGTTTCGTTTTTGCATCTCTGATCGAAATAAAGCGAAGCTTAAAGCAGCTGCATCTTTGTCAGCTACATTTCTAGAGAGTCTATGAAGTGATTCTTAGATATAATAAAGACAATAGACAGATTAGTATTTTACTTATTGCTAAACTCTTACTCAATTTGCAATTTCAATGTCAATCAATTGTGAGGGAGAAGCGCTCTAAGACAGACTGACTTGAGTGGGGGCGTATACTTAATGCATCCACTGTTAGCAGGTAAATGCAGAAGGCGCATACACTCATCCTTCCTCTCTCTCTCTCTCTCTTTCCATATGCACATAGACATTTGAAAATGCCTACAAGCATTTGCTAATTATATACTCATTATACATATATATAATATGTATGTGCGTGGACGTCATAAAGTGGGCGGGTACTGCCCTATACATAATACTAATATGTGCTGGTTGCACGAGATGGGGCCTTGGTGCACGCAGGCAGCGCCAGCAATGCAAATACATCGATTGATTCGATATATATATTATGATATATGATATATCATATTTTATATGCATATATATACAAACAAGTAGATGTATATAAGAATGTATTAAGCTGTATTAAAGTTGTAAAAGTAAAAGTGGAGCTTGACTAAAAAGTGGAAGAAATAATGCTGTTTTATAGTCTAGTGAGAGTAATTTTCACCTTAGCATAATGAGAAAAGGAGGGGAGTGCATAGAAAGTAGTAGCTCAATCGAATGCTTTTTTTAAATATGTATTGTTAAGTAAATATGAAGCGCAGTTTTAGGCTATGGAAAACGTCGGCCGTCAGCCTTCTCTGCGATTCTCATAAAATGTAGGTAAGACTTAGCCGACTTTTAGGCTATAATTCGAACAGGTTGCTGCCACGCCTTTCAGCCTATTTGATTGATTGAATTAGATTGTGAGCAGACTATTGCCCTGTTCGATATCGAACTACTTTATATGAATTTGATCCGCTTACCTGTTTCATCTCTTATTCACTGTTCTTACAGGTGGTGGTCGTGATCTGAATACTGCAGTTACCTACGCGCAAAATATACGCAGCGGCGTTGGCATCAACGTTGCCCACAAGCAAACGAACAGCGGGCCAAGTGGCAGCAGGAATAGCGCCAGCAGCAATATAAGCGAAGCATTTCTCAAGCTGGGCAACAATAGCAGCATTATTAACAACAACAACATCAACAGCAGCAGCAACAACAACGTTAGCAGTAGTATCAGCAGCAGCAACGTTAACAACAACAACAACGTTATTAAAGTGAATAGCATTAGCAAGCCAAACTCCTTGCTGTTGAGCAATAATATCAACAGCAGCAGCAACAACAAGATTATCAACAACAATAGCAATAGTAGTAGCAATAGCAATAATAATATTGCCGTGTTGCGACCAACAATTGTGACGCACACAGCAAAATCAGCAATTGCGGGCGGCAAATTTACAGCGCTGCCAACAACAATAACAACAAAAGTCGCTCTTACGGACAAGAGTTTAAACAACATGCCAAAGAAATTAACAACGGGTAAGTGTGACCAGATACGTATACTCAACAAATACTCACACACACACACATACACCCATACACACATGCATACACGCATTGCGCCAGGCAATTTTTGCAAGCTAAACTTAAAATTAATGCTGCTGTCTTCTTTCTCTTTCTCTCTCTCCCACACTCTCTTTTCCCATTTCGCTGCCGCATATTTAACTTCAAACGGTTTCATGATCTTGCTCGCTTGCTCGCTCTTTCGTTCTCTTTGTTTGAATTGATTTTTGGTTATTTATGATTTGTTTTCGTTTTGTTTTCGTTGTTCCTGTTGTTGTTGCTTTGTTTTGTTTCGTTTCGTTTTGCTTTGGTCCAGCAGGAGCAGCGGCTGCCAGCGGCGCCAACAACACACGGATCGGCACAAATGGCGGCTACCCTGGCAGCAGCAGCAGCGTTGGAGGCAGTGGTGGCGGCGGCGGCGGTGGTGGCAGCGGCAACAACAGCGTTGCCGGCTTGAGTGCAGCCAGCGCCTATTTGAACAGCGGCGCCGGCAACTACTTGAACAGCTTGAGCACAAACGATCTGATGAGCCTCGCCGCCTATGTCGCCTCCAAAGGATCCTCAACGAATAGTAACAACAACCTGAACAGCAGCAGCAATAGCAACAACCTGAACAACAACAGCACCAGTAGCTTTTTTAACAACAGCGGCGGCGCCTCAACTTCAGCCGCCTCTGCCGCCAATTTCAATATGGCCGCGTCTTTATTGGCGCAGAGTAAGTCCTGTAATGTTGGTAACAACCAAGAAAAACAAAAAACTTAATTATTCCTTAATAATCCTAATGCTTATGGGTGTGTGTGTGTTTGCTGTGTGCGCATTGACGAATAGCTGCAGGTGGCTCGTGTATTGAGTAAGGTGGCAACGCTTGTAACTGCAACCGTTTCGTATCCTTAATGCACACTGTTAATAACAGTTTCGAGCTCTGTTAGTTTCATTTTGCGAAAGGTGGGCAACCCTTATTTGGCATTTTGGGCTTTTGTGCCTTTATAAACACTGTTAATAACAGTGGCGCGCGCTGTTAAGCTTTCAACGGTCGTAAAATTTGAATTGATAATCGCTTTTAGATTGTCGAGTAGGCTTTGGATCGATTGGCGAATGGTAATTTTGGTTTCATATTGATATATTAATCTTCAGTTTTTTATTAAGTACACAACTGAACACATGTCGAGGATATTTCCAAAATTTTCAGTACGGTTACAAAAAAATAATATACGCGTTTTATTTAGTTGGAACGACTTTCGAATGCCAACCATGGAGAAAACTAGTTCGCGCAGCGTATCCACTCCAATGATCACTAGTAGCAATTGCATCAATAGCCGCTGCAGCCATTTTCATTCGTCCTACTCCTACAGCGAGTGCATCAAACCACGAATTGTACCGACTACCGTTAGCGGCGACCACGACAAGCAGAGTGTGGAGCGGCTGGTTGACGTGCAGGTGGCGAAAGCCATGGAACGCTTGTATCGCGTCCACGCCCAGTCGTTGAGCAACCTGGAGAGCTTGCTGCTGGAGGAACTAGTGCCGCGGCTGGACGCCACACGTGAAGATCATGACCATCTGCTGAAACGCATGATGTGGCGCCTGCAGATGCTGCATCCCATGGTGGTGAGGTTCAAGGCGGGTCTGCAACAAAGTTCCAGCAATTGCAAAGAGCTTTCTGTTGAGCTAGAGGAGCAATCCGAGCACCAAAACAGGGATCAATCGCCCCAGGCGTCTCAATCGTTGGGCTCCTCCTTGCAGCCCCGTTTGTCCTCGCTGCTGTTCTGCAAGAGTGATAGTGGAGGCTCCAAGGCATCCCTATCGCAGTCGCCATTGACTTCGCAATCGACGGACCCAAAGTCGCAGACGCAGCAGCAGCTCACACAGGCAGAAGCGGTCAAGCAGGACGACGACATTCAATTGATCTATCAAAATTACGCATTCGGCTCGCCGCCCATCAACGATATTGACGACTCACGAGTGAAACATAGAGAAGAGTGCAACGTCCTCTTCAGCGGTCACTCATCGAAGAAGTACTCAATTGAGCAGCCGAGCAGGGTGCGAGCGATAAATCGACGATTGCTCGAAACGAATCTGTTCTTCAACAAGTCCTCGTTTTCACTGTACATGAATCGCTTCAAGTATCCCCCGCCCTGGCCCTTTTCCCAGCCCCGACGCTCCAAGTCGGCAATTACCCAAAAATCCCTGCAGCCGCTGTCCTGGGAGCAAGAGTAAATATCATTTTAATGTGGAGTGTCAGCAACTGTCGGAAAAAACTTCTACTCCTCCTCCTCCTCCTGCCTCGCTCGTGTAGTTTTCTTTTGTGTTTTGTTTTTTAAGTTTCTCTCTTTTTAAGTTCCTGTCCCTGTAATGGTAAACTGACAGATAATAAAACTCATTTGGGTCAAGTTCAACAAAACACTTCGACCTTTGAAGGAAATCTGCTCGCACTGCAGGAGATCTCAAGCACTCAACAAGTAAGGCCCATCACAGTCTCGCCAGACGCCCAAGTGAGGCACATGAGTACCGTGAAGACGTGCCATAGACGCGTCACAGCGGAAGGACGTCGTATACACTGCATAAGATACGTTAGACTACTACCGCCATGGGCAGAATCATGTTTATCAAACGTTTTCTTGAGTTCTCGGATCTTATGCTATTCCTAGTTATATCCAGCAAGTTCAGCTTCAGAACACTTTGATCAAGTGTCGTGCCTTAGGCATTGGCTTCAGATACTTTGAAGTGTTCGATGGGAGTTAGCTTGCAGTTTAGATAGGGCTAACTCTGCTTGAATATCGTTTATTCTATATTGATCAAGCTCTGATAGGACTTTATATATAATTATAATGAACTCGACTGTTTAGCTAGACTCGTTTGAAAACGCAGTTTGCTCTACTAATCACATGAAACATATTCTCTCCCTCTCCTACATATTCTACACTGTTTCTCTCTCTCTATCTATCTATCTCTTTCCCTCTCTTTCTCTCTCTCTCCCTCTCTCTCTCTCTCTCTCTCTATCTATCTCTTTCTCTCTTCATAATTTGCATTGTTTCTGCCTCTCTTTTTCTCTTAATCCATGCCATCAACTTTTTATACCCTTCCCACTCTCTCCCTCTTCCTTTCTCTTTCACACGCACACCAAACACAACAACAACAACAACTGAAACAATCTCATAAAACAAACATTCCACACGCTTGTCTTGCAGTGAGCTATGCGGGCGGTGCCACGCCCATGCGTACGCCTTTCAAGCCGCAGCCGGTGGGCATGGCAGCCAGCGTTGCTGCCGGCGCCACAGCTAAGAGCAGCAGCGCCGTTGGCGGCGCAACGCCACAAGCGGCAGCTGCAGCCGCCGGCGGCGGTGGCGGCGGCGGCATGAAGGTTAACACCATGATGCTGGAGAAGCTGCAGAAGCTGATCTCGTTGAATCCGGAGTACTTGACCAGTGGCATACCCAATCATGTGATGACGCAGCTGTTCATGCAGCCAATGCGGCTGCCGCAGCAGCAACAGCAACAGCAGCAGCAGCAGCAGTTGCAGCTGCAAAATGCGGCTGTGGCAAATGCAAATGCGGCGACGGCAGCTGCGGCGGCTGTCTATGTGCAGCAGGAGGAGGACGAGGTTGACTACGAGGAGATGGGCGTGGCCGAGACATATGCCGACTATTGGCCAGCCAAACGTAAGTCTCCGGGTCTCCGGTCAGCGAGCAATATCTGATGCAATTTCATTCCCTTTGAACGCGCACAGTGAAGCTGGGCAAGAAGCATCCGGATGCGGTCGTGGAGACCGCCTCGCTGAGCTCCGTGGAGCCGTGCGATGTCTACTACAAGCTGTCCATACCCGCCGAAACCATCAACAGCGGCCAGCTGAGCGCTCTGCAGCTGGAGTCCATCACGTATGCGTCGCAGGCGCACGACCACCTCCTGCCCGACAACAGTCGAGCGGGCTTCCTAATTGGCGATGGCGCCGGCGTGGGCAAGGGTCGCACCATAGCCGGCATCATCTACGAGAACTATCTGAAGGGGCGCAAGAAGGCCCTCTGGATATCCGTCTCCAATGATCTCAAATACGATGCGGAACGCGATCTCAGCGACATTGGAGCCACGCGCATCGAGGTCCATGCGCTCAATAAGGTGCGAGACACATTCTTACCTTACTACAGTCTAAGTAATTGTAATTACCCATTTAATTACCTGTGTAATTGCAATTTGTGTAGCTAAAGGCGCCCAAGTTAGCCGCTGAATTGAGTGTCTGGGCATAATTACTATAGTAATTGGGCTTGGCTGATTTAATTACTTACAAAAGTAATTAAAGTTGTCTGGCTAACCAAAGTTAATTGCTTGATAATTACTTAATTAATCCTTAATTATAATAGAAAAGTCATGCACTGAATAACTTAATTGAGAGTAATTAAAATTGTAGTCGATAATTAAATGGTAATTAAAATTATAGTCGATAATTAAATGATAATTACTTGGTAATTACGAAAGTATTTGTAAGAGTAATTGCTAATTTTGCACTCGTCGACACATTTTTCACTAATCCAACTGCCAATTCTCCACTTGAACAGTTTAAGTACGCCAAGATCAGCTCTGACGCGAACAACAATTGCAAACGCGGCGTCATCTTCAGCACTTACTCGGCGCTAATTGGCGAGTCGAACAACAAGACGGGCAAATACCGTTCGCGCTTCCGCCAGCTGCTGCAATGGTGCGGCGAGGACTTTGAGGGTCTGATCATCTTTGACGAGTGTCACAAGGCCAAGAATCTGTGTCCCGTCGGCTCGGGCAAACCCACCAAGACAGGCCAAACGGTGCTCGAGCTGCAGCAAAAGTTGCCCAAGGCGCGAGTTGTTTACGCATCGGCAACAGGCGCCTCCGAGCCCAAGAACATGGCCTACATGGTGCGGCTAGGCCTGTGGGGTCAGGGCACAGCCTTTGCCACATTCGGGGACTTCATTACAGCCGTAGAGCGACGGTGAGTTACTCAGCTGAGATGTGTTCGAGTCGCAATTGAAATAATCTAAACTCTGTTCCATTCGTGCAGCGGTGTCGGCGCCATGGAAATCGTCGCCATGGACATGAAGCTGCGCGGCATGTACATTGCCCGTCAGCTGAGCTTCAAGGGAGTCAGCTTTAAGATCGAGGAGGTGCCGCTCTCCAAGGAGTTCCGCAAGATCTACGATCAGAGCGTCGAGCTCTGGGTGGAGGCGATGCAAAAGTTTACGGAAGCCGCCGAGCTGATCGATGCCGAGAGCCGCATGAAGAAGACAATGTGGGGCCAGTTCTGGTCATCGCATCAGCGCTTCTTCAAATACCTCTGCATTGCGGCCAAAGTCAACCATGCGGTGCTCGTTGCCCGCGAATCCATCAAGTACGGCAAATGCGTTGTCATCGGCCTCCAGTCGACGGGCGAGGCCCGAACTCTCGACCAGCTCGAACGCGATGACGGCGAACTAACCGATTTTGTGTCCACAGCCAAGTGAGTTTCTGTGCGGGTCAACAAACTAAATTCAGTGTCACACCAAACGCCATCAGGAAGCTTTAATGAGCTTTTGTAACGACAAAGAACCGATCAGAGCTTTAGCAGAGCAGCGCGTTTCAGCCTAGGCAGGGCAAAAGAGAAGCTTTTTTTACAGCAACAAAAAGATGAAGAATAAGAGCAAGCAAATAGAAGCTTTTATGAGGGAAACCTTAAAAATATTGAAGGGCTTTTTAAGGGGTCAAATGAAAGCGGCAATTGGCAACAGAAAAAGTTCTATAATTTCTAGCAGTGATACGAGAAGCTTTGCTTGAAACAGACCAAAATAAGTTTAGAAAAGGTGTAAACAGCGCAAAGGCAAAGTTCACAGGATCTTTTACCGAAAAGCTTTTAAAGTAGCAGCAGCTTAAATGAACATAATAGAAGACAGCCTTAGCTCCACGAAGCTTTAAATTGAATTAAGAAAAACTAAAAAGCTTCTCGGTCAATTCAGCTGAATTGTGGAAGCTTTTATGTGCTTTCGTAGCACGTGCTTTGGCAAGCTGAGCTTTTCTTTATTTGTCCTTCTTGCTCTCCCTTTGCAGAGGCGTCTTCCAGTCGTTTGTGGAGCGGCATTTTCCAGCGCCCGATCGCAATCGAATCAATCGCATTTTGGGTCTGTACGATGAGGTGCCAGCGATCAAGCAGGAGCCCCATCAGACGCTCAACAACAACAGCAGCAACAACAACAACAACAACAACAGCAGCAGCAGCGTTGGCGGCGCCAGCAGCGGCATTGGCGGCAGCAGCACCGCCAGCAGGAGCAATCGCAGCAAGCGCAAGGGCAGCAGCTCGACGACGAGCGGCCGCAAGCTGAAGAAGAAGAAGCGCAGCGGATCGTGGCAATACAGCGACAGCGATGAGGAGGCGGCGCACACGTCCAGCGGCGATTTGGACAACAACAGCGACGAGGCGGCCGACAGCGACGATGCCTACAATGAGGGCAACGAGGACAACAATGATGACGACGACGACGACGACGAGAACCGCAACGATGACGATGACGACGATGAGGACGAGGACGAGGACAAGCATGATAACGACAGCGACAGGCACAGCGTTGCGAGCGACTGCAGCTCCGATTTCAATCCGTTCTTCATCAGCGGCAGCGACAGCGACGTGGATCCCTGGGTGAATGCGCGCAGCAAAAAGACCAGCGCCAAGAAGACCCAAAAGAAGGCCAAGAAGAAGAAGGGCAAGGAGGCGAAGTCCATCAAGAAGGAGCCCAACACAGCCACGTCGACGAGCAGCAGCAACACCAACAACAACAACAACAACAGTAGCAATAACAACAACAACAATGCAGCCATGTCGGCCACGGTTGTCGCCGCATTGAATGCGGCCAAGAGTCGCAAGCCGCAGCAGCTGTCCACGCAGGACAAGATCCAGGATCTGCTGCAAAAGAAACAGGAGCTGAAGGGCACGATGACGCCGGTGGGCGTGAATGGAGTGAAGCTCAACTATGGCCCGCCGCCGAAGGATGCCATCGAACGGGCGTGCACCATGAAGGAGGAGCTGCTGCGTAAGATCGAACGTCTCGGCTCGCGACTGCCACCGAACACATTGGATCAGCTGATCGATGAGCTGGGCGGGCCGGATAATGTGGCCGAGATGACGGGCAGGCGAGGTCGCGTTGTCCAAAGTGACGACGGCTCGATCCAGTATGAGTCGCGCACCGAATCGGATGTGCCGCTCGAGACGCTCAACATAACGGAGAAGCAGCGCTTCATGGACGGCCAAAAGGACGTGGCCATCATCTCGGAGGCCGCCTCCAGTGGCATTTCGCTGCAAAGCGATCGACGCGTCTTCAATCAGCGACGGCGCGTTCATATCACATTGGAGCTGCCGTGGTCCGCCGACCGGGCGATCCAACAGTTTGGCCGCACGCATCGCTCCAACCAGGTGAATGCGCCCGAATACATCTTTCTCATCTCGGACTTGGCCGGCGAGCGACGTTTCGCCTCGACGGTAGCCAAGCGACTGGAGTCGCTGGGCGCTCTAACGCACGGCGATCGGCGTGCCACCGAGACGCGCGATCTCTCCCAGTTCAACATTGACAACAAGTACGGCCGGCAGGCTCTGGAGACGGTCATGCGCACCATAATGGGCTATGAGACGCCGCTGGTGCTGCCGCCCACCGACTACAACGGCGAGTTCTTCAAGGATATTGCCGGCGCCTTGGTCGGCGTTGGCATCATTGTCAACAGCGAGAGCCATCCGGGCGTCCTTAGCCTCGACAAGGACTACAACAACATATCCAAGTTTCTCAATCGCATCCTCGGCTGCCCCGTGGACCTGCAGAATCGTCTCTTCAAGTACTTCACGGACACCATGTCGGCCATCATCAATCAGGCCAAGCGTGGCGGCCGCTTCGATCTGGGCATTGTTGGTGAGTGTTTTGCGTGCCCTCCAGCTGGAGTTTCGAGATGGATAACCATTTAACCATTTATGCGTTTCAGATTTGGGCGCTGCCGGCGAGAACGTGACCCGTGTGCGTCTGATGCGCTTCATGCGCAAACATGCCACAGGCGTGGCGCCCACAGAGCTGCACACGGTGCGCGTGGAACGCGGCATGATTTGGCAGGAGGCCATTGACAAGTGAGTGTTGGCAAAGCAGATATTTAAGGATCTATAATAAGTTAATGAACCTCTGTTCGATCTACTCGCTGCTAGATATGCGGATCTGTTCAATGAGCACGAGGGCTTCTACACCTCGCATCAGTTGCGCAATCAGAAGCGCACTGCCATCCTGGTGGTTGTCATCGAGCAGCAGCCGGCGGCTCGCAACTCCGCGGAAGCTGACAGCAGTGGCAGCAGCAAGGCGCAAAAGAAGAAGTCGCGCAGCAAGAAGGAGATCATGTGCCAGATCTATCGGCCCAATACTGGTTTGCAGGTGCGCCACGAATCGCTCGCCGAGCTGGAGAAGAAGTATCGCAAGGTGGCCAGCGAGGAGGCCGAACCGCATTGGACGGAACAATATGATGCTTCGGTGCATACCTGCTCCCACGCCTACTGGAATGGCAATTGTCGCAATGTCAGTCTGGGCAACGATTGCGAGGTGAGGCCCGATCAGCTCGAGAGAAGCTTCAATTCAAATTGCATCTAAATCCATTTATCGTTTGCAGGTGGGTCTACGGCAGCGTCTCTATCATGTATTGGCCGGATCGGTGCTGTCCGTGTGGGGCCGGGTCGAACACATATTGAACACGCGCTCCAATAGCAAAATGCAGGTGATACGCATGAAGACAACGGAGGGCGAGAAAATAGTCGGCACTATGATACCAAAGTCATGCTTTGAGCCGCTCATGAATGATTTGCGCAGCGACTCGGAGAAGCAGGAGGAGTTCAACTATTAGAATACACTTAACTTCCGCACTTTCACTCCACGCATCCAAGTGTAAAACCCCAACCCAGGCGGAAATCCACTTTGGACTCGTCGCACTTCAAAACATTTCTAAGCCAAACCCAGAGAAATGCAGATAAACGCAAACAATAGTTAGAAGAAGTTAGGAGAGTTATCTAACTTCTGCTGCTGTTTTTCCCCCACTTCATAATTTACTTTCCTTATGTTGATGACAAATTCTATGTAATTAGTTTTTAAACTTCGCATCCTTACATAAGTCAGTGTATTTTAAGTAGAAAGTTGGGTCAAAATTTTTTAATTTTTGAATTCTTTTTTTTTATTTTTATTTTTATCACCCGCACACAACAGCAAAAAGGACATGAAAAAGGAAACAGAAAAAGATGTAGTGAAAAGAAAACAAATGAAAACGCTTATTATATGGACTTTTCTTAATGATTTAAAGATTAATTAATTTAATTAAATTTAACATTTATATGCTAGTACACACACACACATACACACACACACAACACATACAGACACTATAAAATGCCACCAAGCAAATGTTAACTATTTATTGCGCATATGTTTAATTATACAAGCATATATATATACATATATATATATATGTATATCTGATATGATTTCTGACGACCTTTTTTATTGCTTTTTTTTATATTTTTAATTAATATTTTATTCTTTCTTGAGAAGGCTGCAGTGCAGCGCGCATCGTTTTTGTAACTGAAATGAAAACAAAATGCGAAAGGAAAACAAAAAGAAAATTCTAAAAGTCTAAAATCTAAACCTAATATAAAACAAAAGAAAACAAAACAAAAAGAGAACATACTTAATTATTAAAGCAACCAAGTTAAGGCATTTTTTTCACGTCAATATATTTTTAAGTTGAACATGAAAAGTCAAACCGCTGTTTGTAATTAAGGTCCTCTAACTGTAATAACTAAATTAAGTTTAGCCATTAAAGGTGTTAATATACATATACATATTCATATACATATAAAGATATAACAAATACAAGTGAAGTATGTGCACGTATCTATATGTACATGCAATATAATAAACGTGGAATTGTGGCATATATAAAAAAAAGCAACAAAATTACACAAAATACTGCAAATTATTGATTTTTATTTGCAAATTTATGGGAAGTAATGTAAAGCAAATGTTTCCTAAAAAATTAACGGAAGTCTTAAACAGTAAACAGTTCAAAGAGATAACGATATATTTTCAAATTCTGTAAATGGCTTTTTCCATGTATCGATTAATCGATAGCTCGTTGAAAAGTGCTGCCACTCGAGCAGTTGCCATTCTAGTGATGTGAGCTGTGCTAGTTATAAAAGTGCGCGCGCAGTTTTACTGAATTTGAAAATTGAAAGACGTTGATGTGTTTTAGTAAAGTTGCGAAAGCGTTGTTTAATTTTGTATTTTTCATTCATATTACAAATGGACTCTTCAAGAGTAGAAGTTCATACATAGTTTGCAATTCAATTATTTCGCTATGCCCCATTTCTCGTATCTCATTTCAATTTTGTTGTTTGTGTCATACTCTTCGCACTTAAATACAATTAGTTTTAGTTACAAGTTAGATAGAAAGAGAGTGTTTGAAAGAGAGATGGGCAAGTATGTAAATAATATAAGAAGCGAAAAATATATAGTCGTTTATATATATATATAGTACTCGTAAATATGTACGTTTAGATTTGTAGCGCTGTAGCTAATATATATATATATATGTATATATATATATATATATATATATATGCATATAGATATAAATATATATATATCTATATATATATATATTTATATATATATAGTCTTCTGTATAGTTGTCAGATATATATAAAAATGATTTCTTTTTCGTTTCTCTTTCTTTTTCGTTTTTCGTTTTGACATTTACAATATAGAGTATATATTCAAGAGGCAACTATAATACATATACGTACATTTAGGGAGAGATATAGCAATGTTCACACATATATATATTTATGTAGCTATATATCTCTTTAGCTCTTTTTAAATACGCATATCTGTATATATATAATGCTATGCTATAGTATGGCTATATGTATTTGAATATAGGGTCCTTCATAAGCTGCGCGTAAACGAACTTTAAAGCTAAGTTTTGAACGGAGGCTAAGAAGCGACGACGACGACGGCGATTAGTGCAAAAGTGTATTGAGAATTGTTGTAAGGTTTGTGTTTCTCTTAGGTACGCACACTGGTACAAAATGTATGCTAGTTTAAAGGCAGCGCGGGACTACGGTTCACATACAAGTATACACACATACACACATATACATACATATACTATATATTTGGAATATATCTACGAGGGTATTCAATGAAGTGTGTTGACTTTACATAAACTATATAAATAACTATTTAGATAAATAAATGTTAGTTTCATTTTATATCTTCTTCATCTTCCACGTTACAGAATACCCTCGTTTATATTATATATTTTGCTCATATATATATGTATACCAGTATGTGAAGTGTATGCATAAAATACTTTAGGCTTTATAAGTATATGTGTGTGTTGTGCTTGGCTGTGTGTGTGTGTATGTGTTTGACTAATATTTAATGGTGGTAATCGTGGATTAATGGGCGGCACTGATTTTGTGTTAGTTAACATTCGCTATATGTTTACTTTTATAATACATACACTTATATGTATATGTGGTGTATATATATAATAGATAATACATTTTCATAGATGTATATATATATATGGATAATTTTGTTTAGGCAAATTATTAGCTATAATACAGTTTACATTTAGTTCTCTTTATATATGTCTATAACATTGAGCTGAAGTCCGATTTTATATATAGATCTTTAGTTTCTTTAAGATTTTTGCTTTATAGAGCATACAGTTATCTCCTTATATATGTTCAGAGATCGCTTAGTTAACGTTAATTTCGAAAATATACAGGCTATACAGAAGTTGTTCAAGCGGCTCTTAGGCTAAGATATATTATAGGTTTCACATCGCTTATATAATATATATATTATATATGTATGTATATATAGGCTGGCATATAGTTTTGAATCAATTATGGCGCTACGCTCTACGCTTAAAGGCCATCAAAAATAATTTTTGTTTTTTTTTTTTAGTTTAAGTTTTAGTTTAGTTCCTCTCATTTCAATTTGTTTGGTTTTTAGGTTAGCTACTTAGGCACAACACATAATAGCGATCGATGATATATAGTACACATGTTCCACTATTATAAAAGAATTTACTTTGCTTTGGTTTTTGTTTCTTTTCTGTTTTGATTTCTCTATTCGTAACGGAAAAGACTCCTAGACTCTAAAAAGAGCGCCTAAAATAAACTTAGCAATAAAGAGAGAGAGAGAGAGAGAACTTTACAGTGGTGCACATACAAGAGAGAAAGTGTGAGAGAGAGAGGGGAAGAGAGAAAGTCTATGACTATAATGGAATTAATGGGTAAACGTGCTGTGGGGCTGTTGAAATTGTGGTTCAAAAAGGGTTTTTTTTGCTAAATAGTTACAATGTACAAGACTACGTTGCTTACGTTGCTGCATCTTCTTCTTCTTTGGTTTTACTACAATTTACATTGGAAGTTATCTTCTGTTCTTCGTTAAATAATACTTATTCTCCTTCTTCTTCTTCTTGTTATTGCAGCATTCGAATTGTACTTTCGTTCAGTTTTTCTTTTTGTGCCTTTTCATGTTGAGCTTTTACTTTGAAATGGTTTTGCCTGCTGTGGAAGGAGCGAGATAGGTTTGGTTGGCGTGTGTGAGTGCGTGTGTCAGAGAGCAAGAGCGAGAGAGAGAGAGACAGATAGAGAGCGTGCGTCGTAAAACGTAGCCTTAATTAACATTATGCAAAAGCCACACAGCTGATCGACAAGAAACAACATTCAACTGTCGTTGAGGTTAAGTTGAACTTGAGCTCGTTTAAACCTAGGTTAAGTTGAATGCAATTGAAGCTAGTGTAAACTGAGCTGATTTGGACTGAACTAAGCTGATCTAAACTTGAGTTCAGTTTGAATTATGGTTAGGTTCAGAGCTTATTTCAAAGGGAGTTAGATCGCAATAACTTTAGACCTAATTGAGCTTAGGTTAGGTTAATTCCAATTGAACTTAGATGAGTTTGAGTTTACATTTACGTTAGGGTAGAATGAAGTTGGTTTAAACTCAGTTTAAAGCAAACTTAGGTTAGGCTGAAACAATAATTTATAATAATAAGAAACATTAAGCTTGCGTGAATGTTATATATAGATTCGATTGAACTGAGGCAGGGTCTTGGAGTGGGAGGATATGGGTTAGTGAATACATGAGTGCTGCCACTCAAAGATACAGAAAGAGAGGGGGGGGGGGGTGAGAGTGAGTGAGTGAGAGATACAGAGAGAGACAGAGTCAGAGTTAGAGAGTGAGAATAGGTGCGTGAACCTGGGAGCGTGTAGAGGCATGTTTAGCTGCGTCTACAGATCAAAATAAAACTCAACAAGCATTGCCTAAAATTGGTTGACCTTCAGCTCGTTGCCCTGCAGCTGGACGAGACGAAACGCCTCCCTTATTGTGGGCGTCATTAGCAATTTCAGGTTCTCCTCGGCCTCGTTGGGCAGGGAGCGCAACAGTTCCATGGAGGCGACCACGAGCTGAGCGAGCGCCGCACGTTTATAGTTCGAATCCTTAAGGATGCTCGTCGCACGCTGCTGTTCGATCTCTGGAGATATGGACTCGGCCTCCGTTTTGGCCGCCTGGCGATTCGTGTCGAACGGATTGCTGCGACACTTCGGCTGGAATTCGCTTATTAACGTGGTCATTGTCACATTCTCCTCCTCCAGCTGAACGCATTTGCTGGGCGATGTGGAATTGGGGCGTCCGTTGCAGGTGGCATCATTGCCCAGATCCGTGTGATTGTTGGCGCTGCTGCTGGCCGCATCTCCATTGCCATTGAGGGCAATGCACATGGACTTGGCCGCGGCCAGATGCATGGGCAGCTTCTGCTGCTGGTTGCGCAGTTTGCCATTCTCGATGTCATGCAGAGCCGAGTTGCTCAAGTAGAGTTCACAGACCAGATTCCAGGCGTCCTGCAGACAGAACAGATAACGCACAAAGTTCTCCTTCTTCTTGACCGTGGTGGTGTTCAGCCTTGAGCACGATTCCAAAATGAAGTTCAGGTCCTCAGCGCCCAAATTGTAAACCACAATATCATTCAAATGCGAATCGACCAGCGCTATGTAGTAGATCATCCAGGAGGAGGTCATCTGCTTGTACAAATTGGCCGCATACTCAATATTCGAGACCTTTTGCATGAGAAACTTCAGTCCGGGACGCGAATCGAACTCCAAAGCGGACATCAAATACTGTTTGACGCAACGCAGCAGAATCTCCTTCGAGCGGAAATCCAGATCGTAATCGTGACTGGGCGTCGACGCGGAAGCGGCATAATTGTCAAAGATGCAAGTGGACACCGCCTGTGGCACGCACTTGAGGCGAGATAGCAACA